CGTTTAACGTCGGCGGCGGGGGGACCCGCCCCTCCCCCCGCGTCACGGGCGGGCCGGGCGCACCACCACGCGTGCACCTCCACGCTCTGCTCCTGGTACACGCGTGTGCCTCAGTGTACAGCTCTTGGTACAGGTGCGTGGATCCCGGGAACGATGTGCCCTTGCCAGCGAAGGGGCGGCCACACTCTTAGTACACACGTGTGCCTCAGGCCACACTCTTGGTACACACGTGTACCTCAAGGCAGCACTCTTGGTACGCGTGTGCCTCAAGACACTGCTCTTGGTATGCGCGTGTGCCTCAGGCGCTGCTCTTGGTATGCGCGTGTGCCTCAAGGCAGCGCTCTTGGTACGTGCGTGTGCCTCAGGTGCTGCTCTTGGTACACATGTGTGCCTCAGGCACTGCTTTTGGTACACGTGTGCCTCGGGTGCTGCTCTTGGTACACGTGTGCGCCTCAGGCAACGCTCTTGGTACACGTGTGCGCCTCAAGGCAACGTTCTTGGTACACGTGTGCCTCAAGGCACTGCTTTTGGTACATGTGTGCCTCAGGTACTGCTCTTCGTACATGCACGTACCTCAAAAACAAAAGGATGAAACGAAACACTGGCCGGGCGAAACGAAACAGTGGTGTTTCGCACAGCCCTAGCGTGCGTCTCTCGGGCCCTGCAGTCGGTGCGTGCCCGCATCTCGGGCTCTGCTGTCAGTACACGCGTGCATCTGCTCTCCTGCCGGCTGTCTTTCACTCGGGGTACGTGGACCCAAATGTGGCTGTAGGAAGAGATGATGGTGCCCGCACATGTATACCACAGACACGGTGGAATGGCACGTGCACGTCCAGAGTGCTCACTGCATATTCTCTATAACAGTGATTTCAACCAGTGCGCTGCAGCACCCTGGGGTGCCTCGAAATCCTTTCAGGGGTGTTGGGGAGCACCACACAAAGTTAGCACTGTTAGGTGTGCAAACAGGATTCAGGAGATAAACCCAGAGATGTCAAATAGGAATCCATACTATTAGCAACCTTCTGCCGTGTCAAGCTCTTTGCAGCAAAACGCTTGCTCTCTCTCTTTATTTTTTAATCAAAACAGTGAAAACTAAGAGCTGGTGTTTTCCAAGGGATGCCGTGGGTCTAACAAGGCTGAGAACCGCTGACTAACGTCACCCAAAGAAGAATGTCTTGCATTTGAAAGCTTGTCTCACTCTGTGGCCCTTATGGTCCAATAAAACGTATCACCCAAAGAAATCTTTGCCTCTTGCTCGTTACGCGCACACACAACGCGCAGCGTGCGCTGTGGTGACGTCACCCACGCATACAAAAGAGGCAACACCTGCCTGCATTAAGCATGCATTAAGGATGACTGTCCTGATCAGGAACAGTCGTGTCACTGCTTGCTATTAGAAGACAAGCCCAGGCCTAGTATCATTACATGTGGTTGACGAACCAGTGTATGAAGGCAGGGAGGGGGAAATTTTGCCAAGTGTCTGCAAAGAAAATCCAGCAGCCACAGAAAAATAAAGGTCTACTGCTCAGAATTTAAGGGGCTGTACAAAGATATTTTTAAAGGGGCTCATAGGGTGCACACGGAGTTTGAAAAGTTGGGATTGTTTGTGTTTGAGATAAAAGGGGGCATGATATAAATATATAAGGACGGGCCTGATGAGTGGGAGCTTCTGTCTCCAGAACAAAGGGTCTCTCCATGAAATGGAAAGGTAGCTAATGAAAAATGGAAGGACTGCTTTTTCATTCAGCCTATGATTAGACTCTGGAACTAATTGCCATGTGATATTGTTCAGACCTAGAGCTTACTAAGGATTGGATATTTATAGCAATGCCAAGAATACCAGAGCTTAAAAAGTTAATGCAAAAGGAATCGGGGAGGAACAAGAACTTCATACTTCAGGAGTTCAGTTAATTTTTAACTATTAGGGGTATTAATTTTTAACTATTAGGGGTTGAGATGCAACCTATCGGGGTGTGGGGAAGAGGGAGGCAAATTCTTTGACATCTGCCCGATATGGGGTTCTTGCATTTTCTTCTGGAGCATCCAGTGTTGGACACTCTTAGTGATACGACGCAAAACAAAATACAGCTTGGACCGGATCCTACATTTCCAAGGTGAACAGTTTGCACTTTGGCTGTCCTCTTAATTAACTGTAGTGATCGCTGCGGCCTAGTTTTCAAGTGCACAGCAGGCTCTAAAACATGGGCAGCCATCACCAGAAAGGGGCACAACGTATGTACCTGAAGAGAATGCCATAGGTAGAATAATGAGCTAATGTTCTTATTTAGTCTGGTTCCGTAGAGAATCTGACATTTCATCAGTAGATATTATTAAAAATTAGAAGTGCTGAATAGGAGAGGAGGAATTTTGTTTAAAGTATATGTAGCCAAAAATAACTTATTTTCATCTGCAATCTCATCAGTACTGATTTTCCTTGTCTCCCCTTGACCTTTTTATTCAATTGAGAAACGCTTAGCAATTGATCATATCTTTGAACTGCACTCATCATCATGTTGACCAGTTTCGTCTTATTATTTCCTTATATTCCCCCATCTCTTTGTCTCTTTGTTATGACTTGTCTTAGATTATACATTTTTGGGGGGCAAGAACTGTCTTTTTGTTGTCTGTTTGTACAGAACCTTGCAAAATAAGGTCTTGGTCCATAACTAGGGCTCCTAGTTGCTACAGGAATAACTGATAAATCCATAGTGGGTGCATTCGGCATATTATTTACACTTATTTTCTGAGAACTGAGCAGCCTCAGTTCCTATTGGCTCCAAGAGATAAAATAGTAGTTTAATTAGATAAAAATATTATTTATAGTTCAGGAAAGTATGGAAACAACCTATTCTACAGATTGAAGCTTGCTGTGGGGATCTAAAAATTACATTTCTAATTTTAAATTCAGTTTGTGGGCACAGATTTGCATTTTAGCTGATTACCATAATCAAGGAATCTTTTTACTTTATTAGTAAGTAAACAATTACATTTAGTAAATCTTCTTATGGCTATATGTTAGCAAAATGCCAATCTACAAAACAAGAACAGAATTACTATACCTCAGAAAAGAGAAAAGATCAGGATGTAAACACACTGCTTGGATTCCCACATATCAAACACAACAATGAGAAGAAATCAAGGAAATCAAATTCAGGAGGGAAAAAAGACTAGTTGCAGGGAGAGTGAAAGGAAGGAGAAGGGATGTGAATTTATCTCCTGTCTTTCATCCAGGGTCCTGCATGGATCTTTATTCATCCAGTTCTAGGATCCTATCCAAAATAGGCTTAGAGTTTTCCAGGGATTGTTGTCTGTTCTTTGTGATGCTTTTCTTCACAGCCAGGTCTGCTAGCCTTTGTGCCTTGGGGTGGATTTTTCCAGTGTGGAAAAATTTGACATCCTGCAACCAGTCATAGTATGTAGCCATCCGTAGTGTGATTTACAGGTTATAAAACCAGAAGGAATCTTTGTATTTTTCATGTCTGATGTTCTGTAGAACATATCTTCCAGGGGGGAAAAGATCAGTTCCTATTTACAAATTTCCAGTGATAGAGAATCTACTACAGTTTTTAACAAATTGGTCCAATGCTTGTTGACCGTCAGCGTTACAAATTTGCATCTTATTACTGCGCTGAAATTGTCTAGCTTCAACTTTCAACCATTAACAGTTTGTTTTGCCTTGGCTTAAACAAGATAAACCTTCTTTCATCAAATTTGTATTCTCCATGTAGGGACTTCTAGACTGTGATCAAGTTATCCCTAGGCCTCCTTTTTAATAAACTAACCAGATTGAGCTCCTCGAGTCTTTCATGAGAAGGCCGGTTTTCCAGTCCTTTAACCATTCTCACAGCTCTTCTCTGAACCCTCTCCAATTATCAATAGCCATAATGAGCTGTGAATACACGATTCCAGTGGTGGTTTACCAGGACCAAATACAGAAGTAATATATCCTCCCTGTTTCAGCAATGTAACCTCTATTCCAGCTTCATATTTCCATTTATTTATCCAAAGATCACCTTTCTGGTCACAGTGGGCGTTATCCACTATGGCACTGTTTCCCAACCAGCGTGCCGTCAGAAATGAATGTGTGTGCTGCAGAATGTTGCCATAGCGATGAGCTACAATAGGTATGAGGATGGGGAATGCCTTAACAGGTGTGCCACGGAAAAATGTTATTAGTGTAAATGTGCCTTGGGCTACAAAAGGTTCGGAAACACTGCGTTATGGCACCAATTCTAGTACAGGGTGACAGCTGCTCAGGAGAGAGTCCCTGTTCCTGAAGGTTATCCTACTTTTTTTGTTACTATATGTGCAATTCTACAGATGTGTAGATTAGCACACACATTGTTTACTTGTGCCCAGTTTGCCAAATGATTGAGATCACCATCAGGAATCTCTCCTCTTCATTATTTACCCTTCCCCTGATCTTTGTCATCTGCAAAATTTAGCAATAATGATTTTATATTTTCTCCCAGGTCAGTGATAAGAATGTTAAACAGGGTATAGTTAACAGCCATTCCTTATAGGTAGGGACCTACCTAAGTGGCAGCAAGACCGGTTTTTCGTGGCGTGCAGAGCTGATTTTGTGGGCATTTTGCAGTGGCCATGCCCCTCACCACTGATTGGAAGAGGGGCCCCAGCAGCCTCACCCCTTGTTGCTGATTAACGAGCAGCCTCACCCCTTGCTGCGGCCTCACCCCGGCTGCTGATTCCCTCAGTCTACATCACTACTGCTTTCTTTGCCCCGCCCCTCGCTACTGATTGGTGGAGGGCGCCTTCACTGAATCTACCTCACTATTGGTTTGGGGGGATTTTTGGTTGATTTTGCAGGAAATCGCAGCCAATGCCAGATTTCATGGCAATCGTGGGACAACATTGTTTTTCACAGTTTCTGCAAAATCTGCAAAACTGTGATTCAGGTAGGTCCCTACTTACAGGCCCTCACTGGAAATACAGTCCCTCAGTAATTTCCTGTTTACAATTAC